CTTTCCCTAACCACAACACAAACATTTTTTCCTATGATTTTTGTAGGTTTTAACATTGCATTTTAAACTTAGGTCTGTGATTTATTCTGAATTATTTACATATAAAGTGAGGTATTAAGGTTTTCTTTTCCCCTACAAGTAGATCTACCCTTTTAGCATCAATAATTATTCATCAATTTAGTTTTCTCAGGGTCCTTATCAATAATTAACTTACCATGTATGTGTAGGTGTATTTCTGGGCTTTGTATTTCATCCATCTATCCATCCATCCATCCATCCATCCATACGTGTATTCTTATGTTAATACTGTGATGTTGAGATTATCATACCTTTATATTAGGTCAGGGACTTTGGAAGTCTAAGTCCTCTCTATTTATTATTTTCTGAATGGCTTTGGCTATTCCATGTCCTTCGCATTTCTATGAAAGTTTGAGAAACAGCTTTTCATTTTAATTATGTTTATGGTGAAACTGTGGCTAAAGTTTTAGAGAATTGACATCTTAATTATCTTGAGTTTCTTGGTCAATGAACACAGTGTATAGAGATTTACTTAGGTCTTTGATTTTTCTTAATGATGTTTTATAGTCTATACGTAGGTCTTTCACATATTATGTTAAAATTCTCAGTGGATATTTCATTAGTTTTAGGGCTATTTTAAATGACACTAAGAAGATATTCATTTCCAATGATTTGTTCTTAGTGTATTGATACAGTGGATTTTAGGTATTGACTTCTTATCCTGTGACCTTATTACATCACTTGATTAGATCTACAAAATGCTTTTTTTCCCTAGATTATGAAGTATTCTCCATGTAAAGTATCATGCCACTTGTAAGTGAAGACAGTTTTTTTTTATTATTTCAATCTGTATGTCTTTTATTTCTTTTTTGTGCCTCATTGCAATAGCTAGGTCCTCAAGTAAAATGTACACACAAGATGAGTCTATGGAAAGAGACATTGTGACTTATTCCGTATCTTAGAGACAAGTATCCAGTCCTTCAACATTAAGAATGATGCCAGCTACACATTTTCACAGAAGCACTTTATTGACTTGAGGACATTGCCTTAAATTTTTATATTATCAAGTGCCATCATGGATGGATGTTTTCTTTGTTTTTCATTGACTTTGCTGTCCTACATCTTGATAATCATTTTCTTTTCTTTTTTCTTTTTTTTCCTCTTTCGCTCCTCTCATACGGTGAAATACTTTGGCAAATTTTTAGAAAATGTTTGTTTATTGAGAGAGAGAAAGATCCCCCAAAGGACTTCATGCCGTCATCTACCCCCAGCCTCAACCTCAGCCGGCCTGGCTCTCAAGCACACACATATGTCCCTGACATGTACAAGGAGACCTTGAGATATGGAACTGGGATCCTTCCACATGAGTTCAGCATCAGACTGTGTTGCATTATTGCTGTGCCACTGGCTGTCCTAATGGGTTTTTAATAAAAACACAACACTGTATCCCTAGGGTGAACTGTAGTTAATAATGGACTATATTTTGCTTATATTATTGGATTCAAATTGCTAACATTTTATTAGGGAGTTTTGCATATACATTGATTAGGAATACTGGTCTGTAGTATTTTTTCTTCTAGGGTAGTCTTCTGACATTTGTGCAAAGGTAATGCTGAATTGGGAATTCTCATGTTGAATTGGGAATTCTTACCTCCTGTGTTTTTTTGCAAACATTTTTAAAGGATTGGGACCAGCAGATGGCATAATGGTTACGTTGTCGGACTCCCACATAGTTGACCATGGTTCGCGTCCCAGACCTGATGGCTTAAAAATCTCATGCAGGGTTTGTGTACATGTGTGCCCAAAATCCCAAGAGGAGAATGGAGGAGAAGGGATTGTGTCATGGCCATCCCCCTGGAAGGTGATTTCTCGTTTGTTGTCTCTCTGTCTCTCTGGAGAGTGTACACACCCTATAGCAAAAAATCTCTCAAAGAAAAAAAAAAAACGATGACTGTTCTTTTCTTTAAATGTTTGGTACTGCTCATAGGTCAAGTCAGGCCAGAAGACTTCTTTATGGGATAATCTCAATTCTTAATATCTTATAATAACCATTTTTGGCTTAAGGTCTTTAAAGGGGCTAGCAGATGACATAATGGTTAGGCCACTGGACTCTTACATTAGTCAACTGTGGTTTGAGTTCCAGACACCGGGGCTTAAAACTCACGTCAGGCATGTATGTGTGTGTGCCCAAAATCCAAAAAGGAGAATGGAGAAGAAGAGATTGGGGCAAGGCCAGCCCCCCAGGGGATGATTTCTCACTTTCTGTCTCTCTGTCAAGTGCATGCTCCCTATAGCAAAACATCTTTCTCTTAAAAAAAAAAAAGAGGTTTTTCGAGTTGATCGACAATTAACTTTTTTACATGTACTATTTTCCCAAATAGTCTCCTAGCAGCTTCTTCTCTGGGCCATACGTATTCTCATACATATTCTTCTGCCTTTAATCGCTTGTCTACAGTCCCGTGGCACTTTTCATGTCCCTGGGCTTCCTTGGTGTGAGATCCAAACATTTCTCTTGTTTCCTGTCTGGGATCTGAGAGAAGCAAGATAGACATTCTCTAGAGCAACCCACAGAGAGGCTAGAATCTTACAATAAGCCTGCTTAAATTATCACACTCTAAAAAGTAATACTGTACCATTTCATATATGAATCGCTAGGTTCTATTTTTCGCCCCTGGTTTTTTTTTTTTTTTTGGACTGTTATTGTTATATATTTTATTTCAATATATGTTGTACATGACATTATACTTAGATATTAATTTGTTATAAACAGCCAGTTGTCATTTATACATGTTTTAAAAGGAGAAAAGACTCTATTTTATTCATTGCTGTAGGTTTCGTTCATTCCACTTGGTCAATCCAAGTTTCTTTTTTTATAATTAATTAATTTACTTACATTTAATCACATCTTTACAGTGTATAACATTTCTTTTTCCAGCACAAATACTATGCATGTCAGTTAAGCCAAAGATATTACTCTATAACTTATCATCAAATAGCTTCTCATTTTTTTGTCAATTAAGCATACTTTTACTTTTTCCTTCCCCTTCTCTCCCTTCCATACTAAACCTTTTTCCATATTTTATTGATTCACAAAATATGTTAAACTGAAAATATGAACAAAGCTAAAATCTAGTCACAAGTGTCCCGTAGTTTACTTCTGAAACATTTTTTTTCTGAAACTTTTTTAACTTAATTTGCACTCATTCCCTAAGCATCATCACAGCACAGAAAATGTGATTTCCCATCCAGAATATACTGCATGGTGGCTTAATCATACATGCTATCGTCAGAAATTTTCCATTTCTAGTTTCATATGTATATACATATATATATACACGCATACACACACACACACACACACACACACACACACATATCCCTATTTTTGACCCTCTGTCCTTTCCCTCCTTCTTCTCACACTATCTCTGGTATCTGCAGTTGTCTTCCATTCCTT